GAGATCACACCATTGCACTCCAGCCGGGGGGACAAGAGTGAGACTCCATATCAAAAAAACAAAAAAAAGTTTAAAATATCATTGGTCCTTAAAGTCATACATTCATTCTTTTGATAATTGCTATGTTGAACACAACCTGCTAACTGCTTTACAATGATTTAAGTAAGCACTAATGATTTGAACCCAGGTTTAATGCCTGGCTCAAAAAAAAAAAAAAAAAAAAAGAATAAATAGAAGTGTGAAGAGGTCCTCACAAGCCCCACTGACAGAACAAAGACTATATTTGAACAAAGACTATATTTAAAGTGTCTTTCAGCCCTATAACCTAAGAAAGAAGAGTAGCTGACAGCCAATTAGCTCCTAGCCAATCCTTACATTTTTTCTTTTTCATAATAATTGCTAAGGACAATTTTAAAATCCTGAAGGCATGAATCAAAAATTAAGGAGCCAGGTTCAGTGGCTCATGCCTATAATCTCATGCCTATAATGCTCTTGTAAACACTAAAGGCCTACAAAGACCACCAGCAGTAGCAGCACCTGGGAGCTTCAGTATTTTAGAAGGCTGAGGCAGGAGGATTGCTTGAAGCCAAGAGTTTGAGACCAGCCTGGGCAACATATGGAGACCTCATCTCTACAGAAAAATAAATAAATAAAATTTCAAAAAAAAAAAAAAACCCTGAAGAGCCGGGTGCTGTGGCTCCCACCTGTAATCCCAGCACTTTGGGAGGCCGAGGTGGACGGATCACGAGGTCAGGAGATCGAGACTATCCTGGCTAACACAGTGAAACCCTGTCTCTACCAAAAATACAAAAAAAAATTAGTCGAGCATGGTGGCAGGTGCCTGTAGTCCCAGCTACTCGGGAGGCTGAGGCAGGAGAACGGCATGAACCTGGGAGGCGGAGCTTGCAGTGAGCCGAGATCATGCCACTGCACTCCAGCCTGGGCAACAGAGCGAGACTCCGTCTCAAAAAAAATAAATAAATAAACCCTGAAGATCTCCTCAAAGTAAATTTTCCAATATTACTTCAAATGAATAATTAATCAAGTAGTTAATACTACTACTTAAATATCTTAAATCTTCTCTTGCCAAGAACATCTACCCAGAGTTACAGATTTTTATCTGAGTACTCAGTCTCACCAGGGTTTAGGAAATGTTTTGCTTTGGAAAGACAACATCTCCGATCAGACTTTAACCTCCAACTGCTCCATTAAAACTACTCTTTATCAAGGTTACCAATAACTGCCACATTGTTAAATAGTTAATTCTCAGCCCTCATCTCAATTGTAGTATTTGACACAGTTGATCACTCCCTATTCCTTGAAATACTTTCCTCATTAGAATCCAGGATACCCTCTAACCTAGTTTTCATTTTACCTCTCCGGCTACTGCTACTAAATCTTCTTTGATGTTTCCTTCTCATCTTCCCGACCTCTAAACTCTGGAAATTAAGTTCTTCAATTGCTTCTTACTTCCATCTCTACTCACTTAATTGGAGATCTCATCCAGCTTTCTGGATTTAAATATAATCTATTTTAACAATACCCAGAGGTATATGTCCAGCAGATCCTTCTCTCTTGAATTCCAGATTCATAAACCCAACTGTTTACTCAACATCTCTAAGTGTTTTTTTTGTTTTTTGGTTTTTTTTGAGACAGTCTCACTCTGTGACCCAGGCTGAAGTACAGTGGTGCAATCTCGGCTCATTGCAACCTCCGCCTCCCAGGTTCAAGCGATTCTCCTGCCTCAGCCTCCCGAGTAGCTGGGAATACTACAGGTGTGCCACCACGCCCAGCTAATTTTTTGTATTTTTAATAGAGATGGGATTTCACCGTGTTAGCCAGGGTGGTCTTGATCTCCTGATCTCATGATCCGCCCGCCTTGGCTTCCCAAAGTGCTGGGATTACAGGCGTGGGCCACCGTGCCCAGCCTTATTTATTTTTTTTTTTTTGAACCAGAGTTTCGCTCTTTCAGCCCAGGTTGGAGTGCCATGGCACAATCTCGGCTCACTGCAACCTCCACCTCCCAGGTTCAAGTGATTCTCTTGCCTCAGCCTCCCAAGTAGCTGGGATCACAGGCGCCTGCCACCATGTCCAGGTAATTTTTGTACTTTTTTTTTTTTTAGTAGAGATGGGGGTTTCACCACACTGGCCAGGCTGGTCTTGAACTCCTGACCTCAGGTGATCTGCCCGCCTCCCAAAGCACTGGGATTACAGGCATGAGCCATGCACCTGGCTAACATCTCTAAGTCTTAATAGGCATCTTTAATTTATGTCTAAAACTGAGTTTCTGTTACTTCTGTAAACTTGTTCCTCTTTCAGTCTTCTCCATTTCAATAAATGACAACTGCATCCTTCCAGAAACTCAATACAAAAATCTTAACTCTTTCCTTTCTTTCATAGCACATATCCCATCTATCAGCAAAACCTGCTAACTCTACTTGAAAAATATATCCAGAATTAGATCACGTGTAACCAGTCACTGCTACTCTCTAGCACAAACCACATTTTCTCTCACCTTGATTACAGTAATAGGCTCCAAACTAGTATTTCTGCTTTTGTCCTTGCCCAATCTACCACTATCTACTCAGCAGCCAGAGAAATGAAAATGTCAAAATATAAATCAGATCATGTCACCCTGGCCAAATACTCCAAAGACTTCCTATTTTGCTCTTGTAAACACTAAAGGCCTACAAAGACCACCAGCAGTAGCAGCACCTGGGAGCTTATTAGAAATAGGCCCTACCCCAGACCTACAAAATTAGAGTCTAAATTTTAATAGGAACCCCCAAGGTAATTCATGTGCACATTGAAGTTTGAAAAGCACTTCCATAAAGCACCACAAAATAAGGACCCACCTCACCATTCCTCAGGCCAGCTTCTGTCTCAGGACACGTACGCTGTGATTCACTATGCCTAGAATGCTCTTCTCATACATATGCATGGCTCACTCCTTCACCTCTTTCAAGCCCTTACTCAAATGTCACCTTCTGTGTGAAGCCATCTGTGAACACTCAACCCCTTCCCCTCAATACACTCTATTCCTGCTTTCCTTTTACTTTTCTCTTTAGAATTTGTCATCACAAACTTAAAAATGGCATTTATGCATTATTTATTTATTTCAGGCCAGGCATGGTGGCTCACGCCTGTAATCCCTGCATTTTGGGAGGCTGAGATGGAAGGATCACTTGAGCCCAAGAGTTCGAGACCAGCATGGGAAACACAGTGAGACCCCCATCTCTACAAAAAATAAAAATATTAGCTGATCACAGTGGCATACGCCGCAGTCCCAGCTACTTGAGACACTGATGTGAGGGACTGTTTGTGCCCAGGAATGTGAGATTGCTGTGAGCTATGACTGCAACCTTGCACTTCAGTCTGGGCAAAAGAGCAAGACGTTGTCTCAAAAAAAAAAATTTTTTTTCAGAAAGAAAAATTGAGTCTTTGAGTGAAAACAACAGATATACCTGTAACTATCTACAATGCCATAACAATCCTTGACATTGATAAAAATCTTTCACTCAAATTTTCTCATCTGATTCTCAATAACCCCATGAGCTGTGTAAAGCAAGTAATGATAAGCCCGTTTTAAAGGTGAGAAAATAAACATACTTCAACTCTCAAAGCATGGAAGTAATAATGTCAAACCTGGGACTAAAGTCTCAATTTTTAGTTCAAAACTCTACAATATCACACCTCCTCTTGCCAATGAAACTGAACCAGACTATGAAATCATATAGCCAAAATGTTATGCTAAGGGTACTAAGCTTTCCTAAACCATCCAGTGTCTATGCAGAATGAGAACAAATTCAGTTCACCCAAGTCACAATTTCAATTTGAGAAATAAGAATGCAAGCTACAGCTGGGCACAGTGGCTCACAGCTATAATCCCAGCACTTTGGGAAGCTAGGGTGAGGGAATCACTTGGGCCAGAGTTTGAGACCAGCCTGGGCAATACAGCAAGACGCTGTCTCTATTATAAAAAATAAAAATAAAAAATTTAATTAAAAAAAATTCCAGCTGCTCCCCGTTACTTGTAAGTCTAATCCCGTGTCTTAATAACATTCAGGAAGAATGTAGGAAATGAGCTGTTTCATTATATACATTAAGAAAATTCTTGTTGAGTTACAGTTGCTAGGAAAAAAGAGAAAATGGGAGAAAGGAAGATGGAACAAGTAAACGAATGAGAACTGAGTTCTAGAAACGAAAGTATAATTATTTTATACTGTTTTGAGTGCCCGGGTGATGTCATTTTGCAGTAGAAGAAAAAAAGACATACCTCCTCAAAATCCCAGCAATAGCTTCCCTTTCTTTGCATAGGTGAGGATGAACAGTTGTAATCCAAAAGGTTTCCCAAAAAGTTATTTTTAAAAAAGACATAGAAACAGAAGATCCATATGAAAAACAGATCCAATCTGGGAGGATGGACACTGTGTCTTCTAAATCTTGTGACCAAGGGCAACTGCTCACCGAGCGTCAGCATCTGAAGAAAGTGCTAACTGTGGATGTGTCTTCTCCAGAGATTAATACCTGCTGGGACAGAAGAGCAAGAAACGGAGAAAGAACTACTGAATGCAAATGACTGTCGGACAAACAATGACAGGCTGAGCATCCCAACTTTGAAAGGCCAAAACCCAAAATGCCCCAAAATCTGAAAACTTCGAGTCCCAACATGATGCTCAAAAGAAACACTCATTGGAGCATTTCAGAGTTCAGACTTTCCAACTAGGGATGCTCAACTGATACGTATAACACAAATATTATGAAATCTGAAAAAATCTGAAATACTTCTGGTCTGAAGTATATCAGTTCTCAGGCTGCAATTTTTTTTTTTTTTTTTTGAGACAGAGTTTTGCTCTTGTTGCCCAGGCTGGAGTGCAATGGCGCAATCTTGGCTCACTGCAAACTCCACCTCCCAGGTTCAAGTGATTCTCCTGTCTCACCCTCCCATGTAGCTGGGATAACAGGCGCTTACCACCATGCCAGGCTAATTTTTGTATTTTTAGTAGAGACTGGGTTTCATTCACCATGTTGGCCAGGCTGGTCTTGATCTCCTGACCTCATGATCCCCCGGCCTCGGCCTCCCAAAGGGCTGGGATTACAGGCATGAGCCACCGCGCTCAGCCAAAAATTTTTTACATTAACATTAGCGAAGAAAAAGTGATCACATGGAGGTAACACCAGTGACCACGCCCAGCTGCCACTGAGTTATCAATGACAGCAGTAAGCAAAAGTACACTTCGGCAGGTAATCCAGCTCTCTCTCTGATAATAGTAAAGAAAATATTAAAATCTATTTCAAGTTTTTTGTAGCAAAATGATGGTCACATCACACAACCAATCATAGATAAAGATTTCTCTGTAGTCTGCCAAACAGAGCAACCATTCTGGCAACTTATAAAACAAATATTGTAGAACTACTAATGCAGATGTCCACTCTCAGCAGAAAATGTAGAATAATCATATAAAAAAATGTAGGTTTTGGCAGAGAAACTAAAAGTTAACATGAAAACAAAGTGATATAAATGTTAATATGACATATAGGGTGGTTTGTATACCCTTTTCAGCTAACATAAAGAAAAGAAATCTGTTACATTTTGGCAACAAATTAAGGCAGTATTGATACCTGCTACATCACTGCATTTCTATCAAATCACAAATTATAGAATATATAAAATGAAATACATTGGATGGAACTAGCAGTAGTCAAGACACAGAAGAAGGAAAGATGAGTAAATGTAAAGACACATCAATAAAAACCATCCAAAATGAAACCCAAAATATAAGACCAAAGAAAAACAGCAGAGCATCAGTAAGGTATGGGACAACTTCGAGAAACCTAGTAATATATATGTGATTGGAATCCAAGGAGGGATGTGTGAATATTTGGAGAAATAATAGCCAAAAATGTTCCAAACTGATGAAAAGTATAAACTCACAAACTCAAAAAGCTTAACAACAAGAGCAAAAAACTCAAAGAAAGTTTTATTCCACCAGGGAACAACAAAATCAAATTCCTTGAAACCAGACATAAAGAAAAATCTTAAAAGGAGCCAGAGGAATACGGAACGAGAGAAAACATTTACAGATCATCTATCATCCAGAATATACAGAGACCTCTTAAAACTCAAAACAAAAAACAAAGGATAATTTGGGCAAAGGATATTTCTCTAAAGGAGATACATGAATGGCTGATAAACACATAAAAAGATGCTCAATATCATAAATCATTAGGGAAATGCAAATCAAAACTACAATCAGATACCACTCACACCCATTAGGATAGCTATGATTAAAAAAAATTAAAAAAAAAACAGAAAATGACAAGTGCTGGCAAGGATATGGAGAAAGTGGGACCCTTGTGCACTGTTGATAGAAATGTACAATGGTACAGCCACTGGGGAAAACAGTATGGAAGTACCTAAAAAAATGAAAAATAGAATTACCATATGATCCAGCAATTTCGTTTCTGGGTTTATAGAAAAAAGATTTAAAGTGGGGGTCTGTAAGAGATATCTGTACAGTCATGTTCACAGCAGCATTATTCATGATAGCCAAAAAGTGGAACCAACCCAAGTGTCACATATGGATAAGCAAAATGTGGTACATCATACACAATAGAATACTATGCAATCTTAAAAAGGAAGAACATTCTGAAAAATACTACGACATGGATGAACCTTCAGGATATTATATTAAGTGACAGGAGACAATCACAAAAAGACAAGTACTGTATGATTCCACTTATATGAGTTACTAGGGTAGTCAAATTCAAAGACAGTAGAATAGTGGCTTCCAGAGGTTGGGGGAGGGGGTCTGGGGAGTTAGTGTTTAAAAGAGTTTCCGTTTGCAAGATGAAAGGAGTAATGGAGATGGATGATAGTGATGGTTGTACAACATTATGAATGTATTTAACATTACTGAACAACACACTTAAAAACTGTTAAAATCAGCCAGGCGCGGTGGCTTATGCCTGTAATCCCAGCACTTTGGGAGGCCAAGGTGGGCGGATCACCTGAGGTCAGGAGTTCGAGACCAGCCTGGCCAACATGGTGAAACCTTGTCTCTACTAAAAATTTAAAAAAAAAAAAAAATTAGCCAGGCATGGTGGCACACGCCTGTAATCCCAGCTACTTGGGAGGCTGAGAAAGGAGAATTGCTTGAACCTGGGAGGTGGATGCTGCAGTGAGCTGAGATCGCACCACTGCACTCCACCCTGGGTGACAAAGTGAGACAATCAATCAATCAATCAATAAGGTTAAAATGGGCCAGGTGTGTTGGCTCATGCCTGTAATCATAGCACTTTGGGAGACCAACATGGGAGGACTGTTTGAGCCCAGGAGTTTGAGATCAGTCTGGGCAACATGGTGAGGCCCCATTTCTACAAAAAATTGTAAAAATTTGCCAGGAAATTTTTGCCAGGAAATTGCATCTGTGGTCCCAGCTATTCAGGAGGCTGAGGTGGAAGGATCACTTGAACCTAGGAGGTCAAGGCTGCAATAATCCATGTTCACACCACTGCACTCCAGCCTGGGTGACACAGCAAGACCCTATCTCAAAAACAAAGAAACAAAAAATGGTTAAAATGGTAAATTTTAAATTATATGTATTTTACCATATTAAAAAATATATTTTTTGGGCTGGGAGCGGTGGCTCACACTTGTAATCCCAACACTTTGGGAAGCCAAGAGGGATCAATCACTTGAGGCCAGGAGTTCAAGATGAGCCTGGCCAACATGGTTTCACCAATATGGTGAAACAACATGGTGAAACCTCACTTCTATTTTATTTTATTTTAGAAATAAAAAAAATAAATTAGAGAAAGAAAAAATATATTTTTTGAAAGAAAAATAAAAGCAGCTAGAAGGAAACAACCACACATTAAATACAGAAAAAATAAACCCAATGAAAGCAGATTTCTCATTGGAAACAATGCAGGCCAGAAGATGGTGAAACAGCATCATAAAGAAAACGTCAACAGTAATTACATATCCTTTGAAAATAGTTTCTAAAACTAAAAACAGAGTCTTCAGATAACCAAATACTAAAAGGATTCACTATCAGCAAATGTACACTACAAGAAACATCAGAAATCCTTCAATCAGAAGGAAAATCATACCACACAGAAACCTAGACCTATACAAAAGAACAAAGAGCACCAAAAAAAGGTAATATATATGAATAAACAAACTATAGATGCATACTGGACAAAGACTTTTATAATAGTATGAGCAGAATCATTTACATTATTAAAGAAAAAAACGGTATCAAGAATTTTCAGGCTGGGCGTGGTGGCTTACACCTGTAATCCCAGTACTTTGGGAGGGTGAGACGAGAGGATCGCTTGAGCCCAGGAATAGGAGATCAGCCTAGGCAACATAGTGCGAATCTATTTCTACAAAATAAAATAAAAAAAGAATTTATACGTATCTTCCAACATGCTTGTCTTCCACAAACTTCAAAGTACCCTGATTATTAGAACTCAGTTCCCATTACACTTTCCTATAAATCAGTCAATATTATTTCTTTATAAAATGAAGCTCTCAAGTACAATCTATTTGTCTGATAACGGAGTCTTTTGAAGAAATAAAATTAAAACTAAAATCTCCTTGTTTCCAGCTTAGTATTCTACTACACAAACAGTGGTTTTCAAACACTTTGAAGGGCTTGCCTACAGAGAAATTTTTTTTGAGATAAAAAAAAATGGTGGTCAATATATAATTTATCTATTTTTTTCACTGTCTCAATGGAACCCAAAAGTCATTTACAAATAAGCTACAGCAGGCCAGGCATAGTGGCTCATACCTGTAATCCTAGCACTTTGGGAGGCTGAGGCAGGCAGATTGCTTGAGCACAGGATTCAAAACCAGCCTGGGCAACATGGCAAAACCCATCTCTCCAGAAAATGCAAAAATTAGCCAGATATGGTGGGACACACCTGTAGTCCCGGCTACTCGGGGAGCTAAGGCAGGAGGATCGCTTGAACCCGGGAGGTCCAGACCGCAGTGAGCTTTGATTGCACCACTGCACTCCAGCCTGGGTGACAAAGTCAGACTCTGTTTCTAAATAAATAAATAAATAAGCTACAGCAAAGAATGTTCCTTGTTTTCAAGAAATCTGAAAAACAATAGGTTTCAATGAATTGGTCAGGTTGCCCCAAACTGGCAAAAGAAGAAAACTTTTGCCAAGTCTTCCTGAAGAAAGTGAATTTGTCAAAGCAAAGGTGTCAAAGCAATCGCTGCAAAACAAAGCTTTGGGGTCAGGTGTTGAAGTAGAAAAACGATCACCTGAGGTCAGGAGTTCAAGACCGGCCTGGCCAACATGATGAAACCCTGTCTCTACAAAAATTAACCCCTGTAATCCCAGCTACTTGGGAGGCTGAGGCAGGAGAATTGCTTGAACCCAGGAAGCGGAGGTCACAGTGAGCTGAGATCACACCATTGCACTCCAGCTTGGGTGAGACAGACAGACTATGTCTCAAAAAAAAGAAAAAGGGAAAACAATATTTGATGCTATTCCATTATACTTCAAACCTGAGGGAATG